ATACATAAATACATCATATTGACAAGTTTGCAAAGACCCACTTGGGTGTTGAAAATGTATTCCCCAGAATGCTTCCCTTCCTGTTTCTTCCACCATCCCACCCCTACTGTGTTATGCTTATAAGAAGCACACAGGATCTTTTTCAGGGGAAAAGGCAATATGCCGCATTTATTGGAGATACAATTAGCATATGCATTCAATCACACACACACACACTGTAGTTACCAGTACAGAGTCTGGAGCAACCTAGTGGCCAGCTAGGGTGATTATGGGGAAGAAGGAGCCAGGTTCTATGCTCCAGGGAAGTCTTGGCAGGACAAACCCAAAATTTCATGGCAAAGCACCCTGTTTATATAGTGATCTAACTTCACTGGGACCAATGAGTTTTGCATTGTTATGCTGTAATCAATTGCTGTTTGACGAGTGCTTGTTTTCTAAAATTGTTCTTATTGCTTATTTTATTCCTTCATCCAGTCTCTCGGGGACTTACCCCATGCTGGTTTTGATCACAGCTATCTTGTCCCAATTGATAGGTGCTTGCCTTGTTTTTTAGAGTCATCAATCTGCGCTCCTTTGACATCTCAATAGGGGCATGTTCTAATCTCCTAGCGCCTTTGTCTGTCCTCCCTAGAACATTTGGTTTGGTGATTGCCTTCACACTTATCTTCTAACACACACACTCCTCATTCATGCACAAAACAGGATTGATTTACACAGAATATTTGAACAGGAACATCAAATTGAAATGCAAGAGAAAACAATTATTTCATTCTTTTACTTATTTCAAAATGCTAATTGTAAACCTACAACAAAGTGGTGACCCTAAAGATCTATTACTGCCTTGAAATCTGCTTCAGACACAAGATTCTGGCTGGCAGAAGCAGGAGAATGTAATCCTTAACCCTCTACAGATGGGGAAACAAGCACGGTTGAGGCTGAACCATCACACCACGGAACAATACAGACAATTTTAACTATATATAACTCTGAGTTCTTTAGTATCTCAGTTATGCTTATCACACTGGCAGCCTACTCTATGGAGTAAGGATGTATTCTGATAGGTTGGTAGTGTTTTTTGAAATAAAAATGTGTGGTGGTGGACTATGCATTCTAGCATCTCTGACTCCAACGCACCTTTGCATAACAGTGCCACTTAATCTCTGTAATAATGTATAGAAAGATCTGTTTCTCCATTTGTACTGTCACAGCAGGTTTTTTTACATTACAAACTACTAAACATGTGGGATGAGGGGGCAGGGTACTCCCTTTTCCCTTAACTCTTAACCACATGTACTGTGCTGGAGGGGAGCTATCCCAGGCTTTTGCCCCATCTCTATGCTGAGATGTCATAGCAGGGGCAAGGCACTAAGCAGGGGGTTGGATAGAGGAGAGAAAGGTACGGAGGTGGCAGGGGCGATGGGAGTGTCTTGTGCTTTCTCCCACCATGGAGTGAGGCGCCAGAAACTTCTAGCTGCCAGGGGGTGGTGAGAAGCACAAGCTGCTATGAGACGTGCCCTCTATATGTGCAACAGACTAAGGATAGCTCAGTGGTTTAAGCATTGACCTACTAAGCCCAGCGTTGTGAGTTCAAGCCTTGAGAGGGCCACGTAGGGCTCTGGGGCCAAATCAATATTTGGCCCTGCTAGTAAAGGCAGTTCTATGAGATAAGTATATCTCATATTAACTCTATTGTACTCAGACACATGTCTGAACTAGCCTTGGTTGTTCGGGGGGAGGGATAGCTCAGTGGTTTAGCATTGGCCTGCTAAACCCAGGGTTGTAAGTTCAATCCTTGAGGGGGCCACTTAGGGATCTGGGGCAAAATCAGTACTTGGTCCTGCTAGTGAAGGCAGGAGGCTGGACTTGATAACCTTACAAGGTCCCTTCCAGTTCTAGGAGATGGGAGATCTCCATTAATTTATAATTTATTTAATTTAACAGCAAATCACAGAGGGAGCATCCCAGAGCTGTGCTGCCAGTGGGAGCAGCCAACTTTACAGTGAGGGGGATGGGTGACCCCTCCCCTGACTGGGGACAGTAGGTTACAGTGGGGCACCCTTAGCCGCCACCTCCCCCCCATCAACTATGCTTTCCCTCCTTGGCTTATGTGCCTCAGTTTTCTCTTCTGAAACCACTTCAGCTCTTGCTCCTACCACCCCGGCCTGGCACTCACCCTCCTCCACTCACCTAGATAAACCTCTCATTCCCTGTACCCGCACCCTCCTCATCCAAAATCTTCTACTCTCCCCTATCACCTGCATCCCTCCTGCTCCTGCCCATTCCCATGCCCCCTGAGCGGGTCCTAAAGCAACCTGTCCCCACTTCAACCCAGATCGGCCTAGCCACAACTCGACACCCCAAAACTGCCAGAAGCCCCGAATCCCTCTGTTTATCCCCCATCTCCCACCTGCCCCCCGTTGCCCCTCAGCCTCAGGACACACACACACCCCGTAAGACCCCCCCACCCCCAGCGCCCATCCACAGCCCCCACTATTGCCATGTGCCCAGCTCAGCCCCGCGGGGGGGAAGGGAAGGAACGAAGCAGAGGCTTGTGGGAGATGTAGTGCACCCCGGCCTACAACTCCCATCAGCCACCGCAGATCCAGCGGCACCGTGGGAAAGGCGGGGGCAGGGTCGGGGCCCAGCGCCCTCTGTTTGGGCGGGAGGCGCTTTTGGCATCACAGCTTCCGTTTGCAGAGCGGGGCCGGAAGTTGTCGGAAGAGGAAGTGACATCAGCGGTCTGGGCGCCAACCGCGGTACGCCGGGGAACCCGGCTTCCGTTCTGCGCCAGTCGCTTCCGTCATGAGCGACGCAACCTGGGAGTTGTAGTTTTTAAAGTGCTGCTTCCCCGGGTATGTTTGGTACCGGCCTGTCTCAGCCACTGACCCCAGCCCGCCACGGTCTTGTCTAGCCCAGCCCCCCCCAACCCCCACATCCCTCGTCCTCCCCGCACCCCCTGCAACCTTCCTTGTTCCCCCGCAACCTCCCCAGACCCCGCATCCCGCCGCAACCTTCGTCGTCATCCCCCCCGCACCCCCAGTCCGCCCCAAGCCGCTTCCCCGGTCCCCCAACCCACCGTAACCTTCCCCAACCTGCCCCCCGCACCCCCAGCCCCCCACAACCTTCACTATCCCGTCCCCAGCCTGCCCCCTCCCCCCGCAACCTCCCTCGCACCCCCAGCCCGCCGCGACCTTCTCTAATCCTCATCTCCAGTCCGCCGCAACCTGCTTCCCCGGTCCCCAACCCACCGTAACCTTCCCCAATCTGCCCCTCGCACCTCTAGCCCCCCACAACCTTCCTTGTCCCCGCCGCACCGCCAGCCTGCCGCAACTTTCCTGGCCCCCCCGCACCTCCAGTGGG